CTAGTTTTTTCAGTTCTTTCTGTTAACTCTAAAGAAACATACTACCTCCATATTTTCGAATTTGCAAGATCTCTAGGAGAATTTAAGCATGTACAATATAATTATATTGATGAAAAATGATAAAACAAAAAATTCAAAAACTCACCTTGGTCAGAGATTTGAAACTGATGTGCCCAGTGATCCTCTTTACAAACAGCAATTGCGAGGGGAGTTGACCCTTATCCTAAAGCCTCACAAAAAATATTGGAAAACAAATCAATGAGATACGGAAATCATATCAAGAAGAATAATAACAAACCACATATTTTACATTTACTTCAACTATAATTTGAGCACCAAAAAGCAAGATCACCAAGAGAGCAATTGATAGTCAAACTTAAATTTCCTTACAATAGTTTCACAAATTAAGCATCAACATACATCAACATTGAAATAATACATGCAAATTACTTTTGGCTAAATGAAAAATTCAAGCATTTGCAACTTCTACTACTATTATGAATATCCTATATCATTTTTATCACTTTACTCCTCAAACTAGGCATGTGGTAACTAATAACTAAAAATTTTATATATCAATGATAATTAATAACTTCTAAATAAAAAGTAAGAAATTAAATAACATAAGATTATTTAGGTGATTATGTTAGATTAGCTTTACTATGTATTACATGATTGTTTGTATTATATGGTTATCCTATTATGTTCTTTTATGACACCGCATAAGGTCATCAAAGAAATAGGTAAATCATCAACCTTGCAAGATGAGATAGAAGATAAAGAAAAAAGGAGGTATGGGGTGGGAGGAAGATCAATTCTTTAAGAACCAAAACACTGCATGTTAGTGCTGGATTACCTTTCGATGTTTAGCAGATAGCTCAGCAACTGCAGCTTGCTTTCTTTCGTGTGCTGCTTGCAATAAACCTCGCATGTCTTCCAAAACCTGAAATGTGAACACCAAAACATGATGGCAACACCTTAGACATTCTTCATAGGCACATGATGTACATAGTAAAGCTATATGATATGTTATGAAGTGAACCAAAAATTACAACATGATTCTGGTCCAACTAGTAACAATAACAATTGGAAGAATAAATTTGGACAAAAATAAAATGAATCTAGTAGGTAAATATCAAGAAAAGATACCACAGCAATTCAACTTTCATCGTTTACTGTGTGTCAGAGTTGTTTGTGGTTGTAAGCTGGATTTGAAAAACAATTTGAAAAAGTAGGTGCATAAATTTGGAGAAACATAAAGTGAATCCAGTAGGAAACTATCAAGAAAAGATGACTCCGCAATACAACTTTCATCATTTATAGGAATATAAACATTTTCAACTGTATGTTGGAATTTGTGCTTGTAAGATGAATTTGAGTTTTTTAAAAAATTAAAAATGTATGAAAAAATAAGTGCATGAATAAACACATACAAGCAGACAAAAGATTCAATTTTCATCTTTTAAGAGAACATTAAATTTCAACTGTATGGTAGAACCGCCTTGGGTTGTAAGATACACTTCAACTTTTTTCCAAAGTAAAAAAATGAAAGTCTAATCATCTGCTAAACGACCATAAATAAAATGATAAATGCCAGAGTTACTCGTATGCATAAACCCCAGCAAGAAGACATACAAGGTTAACGTAATCCAACAGCTTAACTTTAAATGAATAAAGTCTCATTCAAGTCCTGTAATTATAAAAAACTAATAATGCTACAGCCTATTCTCTATGAATATCATGTATCGTTTTTCTCACTTTGCTCTCAAACTAGGCATGTAATAACTAATAACTAAAAATTTTATATATCAATGATAACTAATAACTGATTTATTAGTTAATCAAAAATGTAGTTTTATGAATTAAATTTAAATAACTTCAAAATAAAAAGTAAAAGATTAAATAGCATAAGATTATTTAGGTGATTATGTTTGTGTTATATGGTTATCCTCTTATGTTCTTTGATGACACTGCATAAAGTCGATCAAATTAAAATTATGTAAATAGAGGTGCATAAACTATTTGAAATAGGTTCTGTTTACCTTGAAAAAAGAAAGAATCACTTCTTGCTAGTTTGAAACAAAATTAAAACAATGATCACATATCCACATAGCAAAAAGGAGATATTTTACAAAAAATAGAAAGAAAAATTAACAGTGAACTCTATAAACATAATGAGGTGCACCTGAAATCTTATAATTCAATGAGAAGAAGATGGAGGATTGAGCTTCAACTCCTCCAAAGCTTCCTTGATGCTCTCAAGCCCGCACCAAAACGTCAATGCTGCAGGCAAGGTACGCGTAATGCTTGTCTCCACAACCATCTCACCATTCTCCATCTTGCCCACTTCACCCCCATATCCACCATTGTCCCATCAAATCTAATCCCCTTTTAAACACCTAACAACACAAAAAGAAATTTAAAAATAATAATAAGCCAATAAATACAAGAAACAACAAAACAAGAACTGAGATATTTCTCTCCTGCATTGCAAATTAAAAATTTTTCGTCCAAAAACGAAAGCTGATTTTCACTTGGAAAATATAATAAATCACTTACTTGCCGGTTTGAAACAAATTAAAACTATGATCACATACCCACATAGCCAAAAGGAGATATTTTATAAGAAAACAAAATCAACAGTTAACTCTATATGCATAATGAGGTGCACCTGAAATCTTATGATCCCATGAGAAGAAGATGGAGGATTGAGCTTCAACTCCTCCAAAGCTTCCTTGATGCTCTCAAGCCCGCACCAAAACGTCAATGCTGCAGGCAAAGTACGCGTAATGCTTGTCTCCACAACCACATCACCGTTCTCCATCTTTCCCAGTTGAAACATATCCACTATTGACCCATCAAATCTAATCCCTTTCACAACCAAACAACACAAAAAGAAATTTTAAAAAATGAGTTAATAAATTTTAAAAAAAATAACAGAACGAGACTACAAAGCAAATAAAATAAAATAAAAACCTTTGGATTGAGGTTTTGAGGGGAACCAAGGAGAAAAGCGAAGGTTGTTGAGAAATGTGATTGCCATCGTGGAGTGTAGAAATTGAAGATTGTAATGATCCATGGGCCTGCGGGGGTGTTCTTTTTGGTGTTTCAAATTATCAGATTTCATGTTGGGGCTTGGAGGGGAATGGATAAGAGAAGAGAAAGTGAATGACGGAAGGGGGTTAGATTTTCTTCATCTTTAAAACGTAGCAATGAGCATATGAGGCGGGAAGCAGGAGATGGTGTGTTCAAGATGAAGAGCTGCTTGAAGAAAAAACGTAGCCCAAGTCAAGTGGAGAGTGGAAAGTGGCAAGATTTTTGAGAAAAAATAAAGAAAAGATGGCGTCTTAAGTTTTCAGATTTCAATTTTGGAGGGCAACGGATATGAGAAGAGAGTCTTTTCATTTTTTTTTTCTGTTTCTTTTATGTGTCAGCTCTTCCTCTTTCCCCAAGCGCCGGAAAAATTGTCAGATGCATTGAAAATATAGAGAGAGTGAGTAAAAGAAAGGTTTACTGCAATGATAGATATGAGAAAAAAAAAGGGAGGCCTGTCCTATTACATATTAGGTATTACGAAAACAGAGACTGAGCATTTCACAGCTTGCTTGTGCAGGTCTCTATATATACATATATATATATTTATACTAATTTACTGGTTGACGGTGACTTCACTTCCTTTCTATAAACCATTAAATGCTTGATGGTGATTTCATTTCTTTTTCTAGGAAAAAATAATTATTTTATTTCCTTCTCTGTTAGTCTATACATACAAATACACTGTTGCTAAGCTACTCCCCTCAAAAGTACCATTATTGTTACTTCCACTCTTCCTCCTCTCTACTATCCTACCGCCTATATTTTCTTTATTTCAAAATCAGTTGAAGTTGTTTAAACTTCCAACAAATTAATTTTCTTAAGAATGTGTAAAATCTTGAAAATGTCTTGTTAAAATAATTAGGGAATACTTGGACATATCTGGTCCGTCCTTCTTTTGTAAATTTTTCTTTTTGTTGAATGTTCAAGTATCAAAGTTCCAAATGTTATATGCATAGATGGCAGCATCCATACTACTGAAATCACTATTTGATACACAGATTTTTCTCTCCGTATACAAACAGAGTGGCTAAGAAAAAGAATAAAATAATTAGAATCTACACACTGACTAGCTGACTTTTTCCCTCCAAAGACCAGAACCTTTGTCATGACAGATTAAAATAATTAGACTATTGGAAAAGCCTCTAAGTGTGGTTGTTACAAAAAAACTTTAAATATATTATTATTTATCGGCATTATTATAACTACTAAAATTAATTATAATTTCTAACAAACAAAATAAATTTAATTTATGACCCATAACTACTAACAAACTAAAGAATATATAAAAATTCTAATTTATGAAATTCGATTACTAACAGACAAATTAATTATATTTTTAATTTACAAATTAATTCTTAACAAAAACTACAAGAGACTAGCAGAACTATGTGTTAATTTTATAACCTCAAAAAATAAATACTAAAATGCATGGCAGAGCTTTTGAGATAAAAGGCAATAACAAAAAAAACATAAAGCCATCTAGACAGCGTCCTAGCCTAAGTTTTCAACACACGCCAAATCCATTAGTAGACATGGCATAGACCCATTCAAATGTGCTAATTGATTATTGAATATGTATATTATCATTTTAACCTAATGAAATATGCATTGCAAGAATCCATTATCATCTAAAATAAGAGTAAGATGTTGGCATCAAACAAAAGAAGTGTCGGATGTGGTAATACAAAGCTAAGCATGTCATCGTTGAGTCAATTTTAAAGTTAGCGTCAGTATTCGTAAGGCCTTGAGATCCTCATCGGTCATGTTCACAAAAGTTGTCATGTCAACCTGCATAATAATTAATAAGTGCATGCTAAAAGTGGAAGAAACAAATACATGAAAATGATTAGAAAAAGAAGAGTAACACAATAACAATGAATTTGGAGTACACATACTTCTTTTGCAAGTCTAATAGTCATTTTTTTAATGTTCGCGCCCCCATGGAAAGGAAATATTCTTCCTTTTCTCTAACTCCCAAAAAAATGATACATTTCCCACCATTCTCTGTTAAATTGTCGTGCATAGAAAGAAAATTGGTTTTAAATTGCCGTCCATAAAAAGGCAATTGAGCCCCCACAAGTGGCTGCGCGATATCATTGGCCTTCGTCTTGGTGAGGAGATCAAAGTCATCTTCAAGGTTCTACAGGAAATCTTCGCTCTCTGGACAACGAACATGCTCTCATCACTCAGATCAACCCTATCCCTAACTATTATGAACCCAGAAATAAAGTAAAAAATTATGTTCTTATTAAAGATATGTTATTGTTTAAATAATAATGAAGTTAGAAAGTAGGATGAGATATATACATAATGGACAAGATAAATATGTCAGAGTTATTAAGATAAAGATGAAGTCTTGATGAGAGACAATCTGGAGGAGATAGCATCGCAGACGTGAACTGGTACAGATGAGTGTGCTACAGAGAAAATAGTAGATGAGGTTGATCTGGAGATGATTTCAGATAGATATCTTTAACACTAACATCCGCTTGGCCCCAGTGGTCAAACTTCCCCCCTGGCTTGATGTCGACCAAAGCATCGAAAATCTCAGGGATGGTGGCTGGATAGTTATGGTTGTCGCTTTTCGAGATGATTCTAACATGATTAGCTGAATATATTTAGTATTTTGTTTTAGAGCTTTTGTTTCAAAAGGATTTTAGTTTAGGAGCTGAAGATTTTATTACAAATTTTCTATACATAAACAAATGTTACGAAGAAAACAAATTTGAAGTGGATACAAGTGGGAGACAAAATACCACTCGTTGACTACTAGAGGATTTCATTCAATGAAAACTAAGATCTTGGCAGGTGCTCAAAACTCTCCAACACACATTTTTCAATCTTACAGTAGACCTTATCTTATTATTGTCGCAAGAGGAAGCAAACTTTTCACCATCCATCTTTCATCATATATATATGTATATGCATATGTAATGTGTATATATGCTGTCCAGCACAATATTTTGCTTAATGAAGAAGCAATATATTCATATATATGTATATTATCTCGTTAATATTATTATCATTAATATCACATATGATTCTAACTAATCTTATCTTTTAATTTTTTTTCTTTGATACATTGGATAATGAAAGATATGGCTCAATTTTTTAAGTCATTTTAAGGCATATGCATATGTTCTTGATATATATATACACATATATGTAGTTAACTGTTACTAAGAATAAATATACATACATATATATAGGATATGAAATTTTGGTGGCACTGAGACAAGATTTGTGTCACTGTATAGGCTATGGAAGTTTCTAGTTAGACACCTGGATGCTACCGAGAATCTGAAGGCAAGGACAATAATATAATCATTAAGGGACACTAATAAAACAAATAATTTAAAGTATCTGTTAAAGTCTACATACAGTTCTCCATGGATAAAATTTCAAACACATTAATTGTAGAATTTATATACAGTTAAGAAGTAATCAATACTAACAATCCTATCAATGAGATAATGCATAAACTATTAACGATTTCAAATAATGATATAATACTAACAATCATATCACTAAGATAATGCATAAACTAGTAATGATTACAACAAATAATATAATACAAAAACTACATACTAAATTCTTAATTTATTATTTCTCATCCAAGCCACATCATAGTAGAAGGAGAGCACAATTAGGCCTCCGACTTGCAACATATTATTTGTATTAAGCCTGTTCATAGCAATCCACTTCAAAAATCTAAAGCTTCAAAGGAACTTCACTTTTTCAACTACCTTAGTAGAAATTTTAATCACGGAAAGATAAAGCCTAAATTAAAGCAACTCTGCCAAGCAGAATAAACAATGCACTCTTCCAACACTAAGGCTTATAGAGATGCTATTGACAACCCAACGCCAAAATAAGGGGAATCAAGAATTATCTGAAAAGATCACATAAGTAATCTACCAATTTATCTTCCATTTTAAGTGCGATTGAAATGCTACAGTATAGTGAAGTCTCGCTGGCAAAAGATGCGATTATATGAGCAATTTGTTGCAATACTATATCTGTTAAGTGTTGTAGGAAATGATGGATTATGAATGACAAAACAGAGAAATAATTAGAAACTTTATATGTTTATTATAATTTTATAGTGTATTTTTTCAAAACCATTAGTAATTTTTTTTTTATAAAAGATTAAGAAAGATGATAAAGATACAATAGAAATAATGAAAAATATCTTCCACATGTTACAGACTACAATGAACCAAAAACATTTAGAAAGGGATATAATAACATTAAAAAAAAAAGGTATACAAATTTATGGAGATACCACGCCGCCCACAGAAACAACCCTTTTGTTCATCTTTTAAACCCACAAACATCAATTGCTTTCTATGGGTGGTGGACTGCTTTCTACAACACTTCAGTAGTGGGTAGAAAAAAATTTGAAGAAATGCAAACTAAATCTACCGAGTTATTTTTAATTCATATTTAGTTTATTATTTTGTCATCTACTAGATTTCTTGTCTGTTGATTTCTTCGATTTTATGCTATGATAATTTAGCAATTATTTGTATGGGCTTATTTTTTAAAAATATTTTGCATTATGTTAAGTTAATTATTTACATAGAATATTAATATTTCTTATTTCTTTGTATTTAATTTAATTGCTTATCTACTAGAATTCTTGTTTCTAAATTTCTTAGATTCTTTATGATAGGATAGTTAATTACTCTCGATTTATCTCAATTCTTTCTTAGATTTTAAGGAAAAGCTTTCTCAACAAAATTTTGTTAGAATCCTATTAAAGAAGTCAAGTGTTCTTTACCACACCAGAGAAAAAATCCAATGCTTCTATGATAAGTATCCAGCACAGAATAACGTTTCCTAGTCAAAGTAGAAAACAGAAACTAATTCTTGTATTAATAGTGTAGTTTCATGACTTTGGAGGAAACAACGAAACCCAAACTAATTTCAATACAATTTTTAATCCGTTACAACATAATTTAGTGAAAGATTCTAAACACCAAACTGGGAAAATTAACAGCTTAGTTCCAAGAAGATTTGGAGGATGAAACATAGGCCCTTTAAGGAATAGTCATTATTAATGTCAAGATGGTACCTATTTTCTTTTTTAAAATGATAGAAGGCTTATTACTCTTATTTATTTTGTCCGTTTATTCTAACAAAATGAGAATATTCTACGTCACATTATGTAAAAATAAAATAATTTTATTCCATTATGACTAATATACATAGTAAAAAAATTTACAAAAGCGAGGAGGATAACAGATAAATTATTTCTATTTGTTGAAACATAAAGGAAAAGAAAACAAACTCTATTGGGAACAAAGTACCTAATATTCATATGGTAATCCTGAATCCTAAACCCATAAAATTAAATTTCTCTAAAACTACTATTTCTCTCCTACATTGCATTTTAAAAAATTTTCATCAAAAAACAAACATTTTTAGCCACTCATTTCACATTTATGGAAAACTAAAGTTGTTTTTCCCTGCAAAATAAAATGAATCACTTCTTGCCGGTTTGAAACAAATTAAAATTATGATCACATACCCACATACCTAAAAGGAGATATTTTGCAAGAACAAACAAAAAAAGAAAAATCAACAGTCAACTCTATATGCATAATGAGGTGCACCTGAAATCTCATGAGAAAATGGAGGATTGAGCTTCAACTCCCCCAAGCTTCCTTGATGTTATCAGGCCCGCTATCGAGCGTAAATGTCGCAGGCAAGGTATGCGTAACCTTGTCTCCATAACCACATCACCGTTCCCCATCTTCTCCAGTTCAAATTGACCCATCAAATCTAATCTCTTTGGCAACAAAACGACGCAAAAAGAAATTTTAAAAAAATAATAATAAGTTCATAAATATAAGAAATAACAGAACAAGCCATTGAGAGATAACGAGAAGATAAAAGAAGATAAAAAAACCTTTGAATTGAAGTTTTGAGGGGAACCAAGAGGAGAAGAACGAAGGATGTTGAAAAAAGTGATTGGCATCATCGGGTGTAGAAAATGAAGGTCTTAATGGTGGAAGTTTAGAGTGTCAAGATCATTGAAGAAAAGTGGCCAGGGGGCGGTGGGGTTATTGTTTTTGGTGTTTCAAATTATCAGATTTCACGTTGGGGCTTGGAGGGAAACGGACAAGAGGAGAAAGTGAATGATGGAGGAGATAGATTTTCTTCATCTTTATAAGGTGAGGCGGGAGGCAGAAAGATGGCGCGTTCGAGATGAAGAGCACCGTGAAGAAAAGAAGATGGCGTGTTCGAATTTGTCAATGATTTCAGCCATACATATTTCGAATCATCATATTTCAATTTTGAAGGGCAACGGATAAGAGAAGTGAGTCTTTTCATCCTTTTTTCTTTTTCTGTCAGTTTTTCCTAGTGCATAAGAAAATGTCAGATGCCTTAAAAATATATATACAGAGAGAGAGAGAGAGTAAAAGCAAGGTTTATTGCAGTTTTTTCTATACACCATTCATTGCTTAATGGTGACTACACTTTTTTTCTAAAAAAATATATATTTTATTTCCCTCTCTGTCTTCTCTTCTCTCTTCAAGAAAACTACCACCGTAAATACGTACAATCTGTACATACAAATGGCTACTGTTTGTAAAAAGCTAAGCATTACCAATTACTCCCCTCATAAGTAACATTATTATGGAACAACATTGAGCAAAAATTTTTCTAAGACGAGATTGTTTAAAACCCAAAATAATTTTGCACAGATACTCCGATGAACCCTTCATTAACTTGAAATAGTAAGATAAAAAAATCTCTTCAAGTTATGAATAATTAAAAATGCTGCTATTTTAATCAAGAAAAGACCTATAACACAAAAAGAAGAAAACATAATTTTTCTTTATAAGCATCAAGAAATACAGAAACAGGAAGAAATTGCTCTGGAAAAGATGAGAGTCATAACCTAAGCATATAAAGATTTTCTGTGGTTGCTTGTGGGAGAATAGTAATTTTTGAACACTAACTTGTCTTTGTTCTTTTATGCTTCTCTCTCTCTCTCTCTCTCTACAGGGCTTGCAGGTTTCAATAAATATTGTAAAAAAAAACATAGCCGAGAAGAGAACTAAGGGGTTCCTTTTCTGCGGGTCTTAGAACCCATTTTTAGGTTTTTTCTGTTTCTCTATCAAGAAACTGAAAGAAAAAACAGAAACGAGAAGAGAATGAAGAAACCCATTTCTAGTTTTTCTCTCTTTCTCTCTCTAGAAATGGAAAGAAGAAACAGAATGGAGGAGAGAATGAAACCTTACTTTCTCTTCTCTACCAGGTTCTGGATATTTTAAAAGAAGAAAGTGTTAAGAGTTTTTAAAGGTTCCAATTAGAATCTTTTTTTTGGCCGATTATCTCATAATAGTTTAATAAATTAAATAATTTGAAATTGTTGATGTAATAGCAATTTAATTTAATTTCATTTTATTTAATTATTACATCAGATCTGGGTTCATTTTCACTTGCTTAAAATCAAATTATGAATTGAACCGTTATATTCTTTTCTTCCCACTGCCTTTTTCCTTTTAAAATTCAATCTTCCTCGTGCCTAGAAGTCTTCCCTCAGAGGAAGACAGAGATACAAGCAGAGTTCATAAATTTTTATTTTTCCTGCTTAATTATTTAAGTACTTTCATTTTTTTTAATATAATTTTTAACAAATCATAGTGTGGAATTCACCGCTAAAATAATTAGGAAAAACTGGGAACAATCAGCAAAAAAAATTACAAAAAAAAAGAACGGACCAGATGGATTTTGTCATTATCAATTAAATGTTATATGCATTGACCCAGCATGCACAACCAGAAACATTCAGTTGATAATGCTGGAATCACCATATGATACACAGATTCTTCTTCTCCGCACATATAAACAGATGGTTAAGAAAAAGAATAAAATAATCAGAATCTACATGCTGAGTAACTGACTTTTTCTCATAAGATCAGAACCTTTGTCGTGACAGGTTTTCCTGCAAAATAATCAGAATCTACACTCTGTTAAATTACCGTGCACAGAAAGACAATTGTTCTGAAGTCCTCCCCCCTCAGCCCCGCAAAAAATGATCGAACTATCTTGAACAAAAGCCAGCAAGTAGCAAAATAATATGGGCCTACATGAAAAATTAAAAACAAGTAAAATTTCCATGCCTTATGTTGAGACTTTTCCTCGCAACTGAGTTGGAGGCTTTTTTACTCTCTGGTTCAGGGGCTTCAACTACAATATTTTTGCTGAGTAGCTTGACAGCCACCGATTTTGGTTTTGGCGGATCAAAATTTGCCGTTGTTGATTCACGGTCCCAAATAATTTTTCGCGAATAAACTTGTTGAAAATTCTATGATGAACCATAAACCAGTAAAAAGAGATAAAGAGAGAGAACATTATGCTATTATTATTGTTAAAATTCTACATTAGAAAAAAAGGTATGGAGAGAAAGATGAAAGAGATGATACAAAAATTCTAAATTCGCACAGCTCTGTTATTTGCAGAGGAGAGAGAGAAGTGTAATTTGCTCTTATGAACACCTCAAATAATATTTTCTTGTTCTTTCCTTGCAAGAAAACAGATAAAGAAATTATATATTCAAACCAATTGTAGAAATATCACCTACGTATTCTCAATGGTAAAATAAAGGTTTATATATATATATTAAATTAATGTATATAATAAAATTAGAAGAATAGAAAAATATATTTAGTGTCATATTATTGTTAATGTATAAATTTTAATTATATAAGGTGAGAGAAAGAAAAACTAATTTGGAACTCAGATTTTTTAGTTTAGTTATAAGTATTTGGTTAGTTTAAGTTGATTTTAAATTTTTTTAACCGAATAAATAGATACTATTAAATAATTATATTAATTGTTCAATATGCTCCTAACTAAATTATTGTATCTAATTAGTCACATACGTTAACTATAAGATAACAGCATAATAAATTTATAACTGATTTTATTGCATATAAACTTACTTTAAGGAGAAAAAACTCTAATTCGTCCTAAACTTATGACGCGTTTGAATTTTAATTTTTTGTTAATTTGTTTGGATGATATCGAGTTTGCGGATTATCAAATCTAAATCCAAATCATTCATTTTATTACATTAATATCAATATAAATATCTATACTAAACAAAATTAAAATGTATTTATTAATATATATAATATTATATTATTATTTAATTTATTATATAACATATTATATTTAATAATATAAATATATCATATTTATTTTAATAAATTGACATATATAACAGGTTGATTTCAGATGAATGTTGGAAGATTACAACCAAAGCACCTCAAGTTGCCACATTTTTTTTCACTAACTCGAACTCGACCTGAACCCAAAACCCTAAATTCAAAACCCAAAACTCAAAACCCAAAATCTTAAATTCTAAACTCTAAAACTCTAAACCCTAAAACTCTAAAACGCTAAGGTATTTACTCATGTTTCCTCCGAGTTTTTTTTATTAGATCTTGGTTGTTAATAAAATTATTCATCAAACTACAAATATGTTGCAACCTTCTCCTTCGATGTTAGATGTCTCTTTAAGAAATTGATATTTATAGATTTTTAGTTCATTCATTATATATTTGAATGTTGATGAGACAATAAAGAAAGAAAGAGTAAGAAATTTCGGAATAGAAGATGAACATTTTGAACTTATCTTCTAAGTTAGTCTTTCCCATAAAAGGTTTTTTCATATTAACTAATAATATTTTTATATATACAAAAAAATATATGTATTAATTTTATATATATGAAAACATTCAAATGACATGATACTTTTAGTTTTAAAAAAATGACTTAAGATTGAACAAATGATTGTAACTATGAATTGATAATTAACTACATACTAATATTTACACATTTGATTTAGATAAGTGATTTTGGGTTACAATATTGTGATTTATTAATTTAATTAATTATAAATTTGATAATAAAATTATAATAAATTTAATATTTATTTCTATTAACTTAAAATAATTCATGGGAAGAAAATTAAAAATAAAAGAACAAAACAAACTATTTCATTGTAGTTTTCTCTTGATTTCTTATATGTTGTTTTTGAACACACTAAGTAAAGTTTTGATTTGTTAATATTTTATGAACAAAATGAAAATAATGTTAATTAGTTGAATTTGGTTAATTCAAAAGATCATGAGTTTAGATCCTATTATTGACAATTTTATTTTAATTTTCACGTTTTGTCTGTACATGACGATGCAAATAGAATGGATTTTTCAAGGCATGTTTTAAAAAAATATTTACGTCATTCTCAGCTATCATGTGGCATAGACACCAAAACAATAACATCTGTTAAAGGAAGTGGGTTTTTTAGAAAACTTTTAGAAGTATGAAGATTAGTTTAAAATAAAAGAAACTCTGAGTTTATAGTGTCTATATATATATATATAATTGTGTTAACTATTTAATCCAAGAAATGAGTTAGAAAAGCTCATAGTTATTAGTTCTTCCAACACATCAGTAGTCCTTGAACACGTTTTAGCCGCCACGCATATGGAGAAACAAACAAGAGAAGGTGACCGTGCATACATATATATATATATATATATATATGCGTGTATATATCTTACATTTATGTCTACCGAGCCTGAGGACCAATTTCAGCACCGAGATTAAGAGGGATGATATCAAAAGAGGTAGATGATATAATGTTACGAGACATTTCAGTCTCCAAACACTCCTTCAACTCAATCACAACATGGTTCATAGGTGGCCTCTGGATTGAAGTTGAAGGTACACATGACATGGCTATCTCCAAAGCTTTCCACACTGAATTCATTTCATAATTCTCTTCCAGTCTTTGATCAATTATCCTTCTGATATCTCCTTTCTCCAGAAACAAACTCACCCATTTTATTATGTTTGTGTTTTCATTGGTTTGTATCACTGCAGGCTGTTGTCCCGTAATTAGCTCCAATAGAATTACACCAAAGCTGTATACGTCACTTTTCTCCGTTAACCTCCCAGATGAATAGTACCTGCACCATTCTTTGAATTAATAATTATATATACATGTGTGTGTGTGTACGTAGATCATATTTTGTGAAATGCTAAACTCACTCTGGGTCTAAATATCCCACTATTCCAACAATTGAAGTCAATAAATGACTACCACTTTAAACTGGAAAGAATTTTGAGAACCCAATATCAGCAATCTTCGCTTGCATTTTTTCATTTAGTAAAATATTTGCACTCTTCACATCTCTGTGGATTATTGGTGGTTTGCACCCATGATGCAGGTATTCTAGCCCTGCACCATATATATATATATATATAGAGAGAGAGAGAAAGAGAGTAAATAGAGTTTCAAGTGAAACAAAAGTGAAGTAAATATGTACATAAACCCATTATTCCTGCTGACCTTGTGCTGCGTCAACTGCAATTTGGAGTCTCTCTTTCCAACTCAATACTTGATTTGCTTCAGCTGAATTTTTAGAAACTAAAGTAAAGGATTCTGTTTTTCTAAACACTAGAAAATTAAAGTGGACAAGAGGAGAGATTAGGAAACTACCTGATAGATACTGCTCTAGGTTTCCATAAGAATGTACTTATAGACAATCCTAAAATTAGTACTGTCATGGCAGTATCCAACAAGGGTAGTTAAGTTTTTATGATGAACACGCATCAACAGCTGAGCCTGTGGTGTACAATAACCCAAGTTGGAAACTTGTATTTTGAAATAGGAAAAGATGAATTTGACTCTAGTTTTTAAGTATCAACCTCGGTTCGAAACTGTTCTGACCCTTAAGCTGAGAAAGAAGAAAGCATTTTGATAGCAACTTGCATTCCATCATCCAGTTTACCGTGGTACACTGTTCCAAATCCTCCTTTCCCAATAACAGTTTCAAAGTTATTGGTAATACTTACAATTTCAGTGTATGTGAACTGTCGATTAGCCGATTTCAGAGAACCCTGTTTGAACTTGAGTAGAAAGTATTGAGCTATCAATAGCAGATCACTTATGTCATTAAAGTCTATGTTACAAAAGTTGCAAAGAATTTTTTCATAACATTGAATATTTTCAATCGTTTCAGCATATATTCCTCCATTACCTTTTTTCCTTTTGAATATCCAGAGAAAAAGAAATGCAGCAACCAATAAGACTACCAAAGATATTATGACTGCAACAACTTGCACTACAATATTTTTCTTCCCTTTTCTGCATGAAGGCGAGAGACAAATATCTGGATTCCCTTCAATACTGTCATTAGAATTAACGTTAGGAGGGGAAGTCATTATAAAAGTTGGAGAACCGAAAAATGACCAACTAATATTAATTACCTGAGTGATAGTGAACCTTTTCTTGATTTTTCTGTGAGGGCGGAAGGAATTAATCCTGAGAGTTTATTTCCTGCTAAATTACTGTAATGACAATGGGATTAGGGTTATAATCTCAAGTTGTTCTAGCATACAGTCTCAATAACTTACAGAGTCATCAAGTCTGGTAGTTGAGACAGAGATTCAGGAACTTCTCCTCTTATACTGTTGTTGGACAAATCCCTGCAAATTATAACTTGTGAGTTGGGAATGATTTAAGGATATAATGGAAACATAGTTTATGATAGGGTACTTAGAAATACTCTATGATTTGATCTTGGACAATGAAGGAGATATATGTCCTTTTAATCTTTTTGAACATAAATTCATGCAATATTTTACATTTATATGGTTTGGAGTAATATGATTTGTAAATGATATTTTTCATATCTTGATCAGTGATCACTCACAATGAGATGATTCTTGGAGGATCATAACCACTGTAACTGCAATTTATATCATCCCTAGTGAAAATTGGTCCACATGGATCCCCCTCCCAGTTTTCACCCACTTCATAAATCATCTTGATATCCAGAATAGCAAGAACTAATACATTTGAGATAGCAAAGAAAACTCTGATTACTCTGTTCTTCATTAAGAAAAAAACCACAAGAAGATTAAAACGGAAAAAGAATATCTTTAGATGGTTTACATACCATCTTCTTGAGCTGTGAAGGCCTGCAAGAAGTCTTTAAGTATATATATTTCCATGGCATTTACAATTGGAGGAAGTACAGAACGCGGTGTTTTATAGAGTCAAAACTTTGAACTGGCTCCTCTTACAAATTGATTGTTATGAATAGTTATAGATCTTAGGTAAACAGGAACAACAGATTCCTGCCATAGTTTACCATTCAACTCAATATTGAATTCTCTAAGTTGATCATCTTCGAGCTCTTGGAGTTCCGCAAAGTGCATGCACACGTAGTACTTTAAGGTGGGATTACTAATATCAAAGATTAAATCCAACGAGTCATTTACATCGATTGGCCTAATAGCAGTTTGCATTACTTTTGATGGCAATCTATACTCGGATTCTACCAGAGAGTCGGTGGTGAAGGACGTGTTGAATAATTCCTCTTCGACTACGTTAAAAGAAGACCACATCCTATCATAGACATCATCTTTAAACCTAGTAAAATTGAACGAGCATGTCATCTTCTATGACCTTAGTAGCTTATCAAACTAACATATAGAATGAATCATATAGTGTCTTTCATAGGTACTTATAGGTGGTTCCTCTCCTGCAATAAGTTAGGGAGATAGAATTTGATACCATGTTAAATTCATACGAAAACCCATATAGTATATATAAAAAAAACCGAAATTGAAATACCTGATTATCTGGTTGCTCGTTGAACCAAACATTGAGTCTCCTGTGGAGAAGTAAGGGTAAGGATTATATTCAATAAATGGAAGTATGGAAATGTCTGAGCTCCAATACTGATAAAAAAGGAGTATCAGAAGTAGTCCTGATGAGGCAAACATAAATATTATCCATCATGGGAGCAAGTATGATCTCCTTGATTACAACATGAGATGCATTATCAAACTTGACAGTATCCCACAAATTCATTCCAACATAAAGATCGAATTCCGGCAGCTTGTTCAGTCCATCATAATCTCCATACATGAAGGAAGCTCAGATCAAGTAGATAGTAGCTTTGCCTTCTGGAGGACGTAAAGTGTAGCAGCTCCGGTTTCCTTGTGGGAAGCTTTCACATTATTTTTCATGTTCGGACACGCCATCACCAGCTATTTCTTCTTCATCAATTAATGCCATTCCTCGATTTTCTTTATCCCTTGCAACCTGCTCTTTGGTAATGTCTTTCTTTCTGCCTACATGTAGGATTTTTTTTTCTTCTGCCTCGAATGTTCTTGATTTCATTGGTCAGCATCCTCATCGTTGGCTTCCACCTGCTCTCTGGCCCTCGCAGAAGAGGAAAAAGAAATCTACCATGCTCTCTCTCTCACTCTGTCGACAAAGAGGAAAGGAGAAATGGAAAAGTGGCCTGGTTATTGGTACGGCAGCCTTGCAGGAAGAAGTGAAGAAGAGAAGGAAAAAATAAAATGTGGGTTAGGTCTTTCGACCTGGGCCTGAAAAGAAGAAAGAAAAAAAAAAAGAAAAAGAGAAGAATGGGTTGGATCTTTCTTTGGGGCTTGGCTGATTAGAGTTTTACAGGGATGGGTTAGTTTGGATTTAAATAAATATTGAGATTTTCACTTGGGTTGTTTTCCTTTTCTTTGGGTTTGGACCACGAAGAAGAAGCATAATTTTTGGATTTTTCACACTTAATACTCGTTAATACATGCATATATATTTAATATGTTGCAATTATAATTATATGTGTATATATATATATGGAAAGCGTGCTCGGAAAGTTTTGAAGCTTTTAGATATATATATATATATATGTCGTATAACATAATTAATTAAATAATTTTTATTATTTATACTAGTTTTTAAGTATTTTGTATTTCTATACTTTTTTTTTCAATTATTATGACCTAAATTAAGACCAGATTGATATGGATTAAAATTTTATAAAACTAAGGATTATGTCAATTAATTTTTATGTGAGTTTACAAATAATATGTTTTAGTTAATTTTTTTTTTAAATTTGAATCCAATTATTATTCTATATCTGAGTTTACAAATAAATACTATAAAAAACTTTAAATGTAGTGATGAATTTGAAAAAGAAAAAAGTACTTTTATATTATTATTATTATATTTTTTCAAATTTATAATAAATTATTGATAATTATACAATTGGTATACTAAGCACTAGTTAATTATAACTTGTTGAATAACATATATGTTTTAATTGCAGCTATATTTTTTTGAAACATAAAACTCCATGGAATTAAAAAATTAAAAAAAAAAAAAAAAGAAATGGTGGAGCGTGGGATTGTAAACATTAACCGACGTGGAGAGCCGCAGAGCCGCAAGGCCATACATTTTTTGAAACAAGGGGAATAGGGCCTTATCTCTCCGTCCCCTTCTCATACCCACCGCCGTCTTCCTTTCCTTTCCTTTCCTTCTAACATCTAATAAATATCTAAACACTTGTCAGAGGAATTCGGGAGAAAAACATGGCTTCTTTGTTAGGAATGCCATCTCTTTCTCTGAAACTTTATAGTATCAGCTGCAGAGGCAGCCACAGAAGAACCGGGAATACCACATCCTTACCCTTGGCCGACAAGTCTCACTTCAATGCCCTCGTAGCTGCAGGCAGACCCTTGCTCCTAAAGAGCGGCACCAGCAGCTTCAGGCATACCCTCTCTTTTGTTCCATCAGCTGTAGCTACTCCTAATTCCATTCTCAGTGAGGAGGCCTTCAAGGGCCTCGGTGGCCTCGACCTTGCCTCTGACTCCGACGCCTCTTCTGATGAGCTTGTCATATCTAAGTTGGGTTTGCCCCAGACTCTCGTCGACTCCCTTGAGAAGCGTGGCATCACTCACCTCTTCCCAATTCAAGTATCTTACATCCTCTCTTCATTTCATTCTCTTCTATTTTCAGGAATATCTCATTTATAATTAGCTTTTTGTTCTCCATTCCTTCACATAGCTTGCATCCTATATATTTCTCGGGGGTTTACTAGATTTTGTTTCCATAATTCAGAGAGCTGTGCTGCTCCCGGCACTTGAAGGTCGAGATATCATTGCTCGTGCAAAGACTGGAACTGGGAAGACGTTGGCCTTTGGTATTCCCATAATAAAACGCCTTACTGAAGATGCTGAACAACGAGGTTCTCAGAGGTAATAGTTATGCCCCTCACCTGCCTACTCCTGCTATTCTTCAATGTCTTTGATGAAATGCTCTTCTCTTGCTTGCAGGAGGTCTGGTCGTCTTCCTAAAGTTTTAGTGCTAGCACCCACCCGGGAGTTAGCGAAGCAAGTAGAAAAAGAAATTAAAGAGTCCGCACCTTTTCTGAACACTGTTTGTGTTTATGGAGGGGTTTCTTATAACACGCAGCAAAATGCTCTCTCTCGTGGGGTTGATGTTGTGGTTGGAACACCGGGACGCATCATTGACTTGATAGAAGGTAATAGTCTCAAACTGGGGGAAGTAGAATTTTTGGTGCTTGATGAGGCTGATCAGATGCTTGCCGTTGGATTCGAGGAGGATGTGGAAGTCATTTTAGAAAATCTTCCGGTGAAGCGACAGAGTTTGCTTTTTTCTGCAACTATGCCTGCTTGGGTCAAGAAATTGGCCAGAAAGTACTTGGACAAACCTCTCAATATCGATTTGGTATATATTCGTTAATTTTTTAATTATCGCGAATGCTGAAAAGTTGAAATCCTTTTGAGTGATTGCTGTGCATTTTCAGATGAGAAAACAACTTACAATAGAAGAGTTTCATCATTGTAATTGTTTTCTCCTACGATGATCTGTCTGTGATGTTTGAGCATAGATGTTTTCCATATATGCTCAATGTCTTCATTTTTTTGCTCCTTTCTCCAGCACCTTGTGTAAATCCATATAGCGTTTCCTCACTAACTAATTGGTATAACTGTGATTTTGGTTACCAGTTTGGAATCAGGATAAAAAACATTAGAGTGGTTAAGAAATGCAAATTGTGAACTGTTAACTTACTCTTTTTTTTTTTTATTCACTTATATACTCAATTTGGTAATTGGTTTCTCTTTCTTGACAGGTGGGAGACCAAGAGGAGAAGCTTGCGGAAGGGATCAAACTTTACGCTATATCAACCACTTCAACTTCAAAGCGAACGATACTAAGTGATCTTATAACAGTATGATAAACCAGCACCTCTTCACAAAATTGGATCAATCAGTTTCAGAAGATGCTGAGCCATTTTGTTTTAAAGCACTATTGTCTTAACTTTCAGGTCTATGCAAAGGGTGGGAAGACCATTGTTTTTACACAGACAAAGCGAGATGCAGATGAAGTCTCAATGGCTCTTACAAATAGCATAGCTTCTGAGGCATTGCACGGAGATATATCCCAGCACCAGAGGGAGAGAACTTTGAACGGTTTTCGACAAGGAAAATTCACAGTACTTGTTGCAACTGATGTTGCTTCTCGAGGGCTTGATATACCCAATGTTGATCTTGTGAGTTTATGCTGCTTCTTCCACAATCTTTAAGAATTCTACTTCTTAAATTTTGTTCTTTATCTTGCAAGTCTGTTTTCATCAATAGTGGAGAGAAATTTCAGGTATCTCTTTCCAAATTTCAAGTTCGTTTATTCTCACTTTATTGAGAAGTCTGTTTGGTGTTACCACCTTTTCTGCAGATCATCCACTATGAACTCCCCAATGATGCAGAGACCTTTGTGCACCGCTCTGGCCGTACTGGACGAGCAGGGAAGGAAGGGACTGCAATTCTCATGTATACTAGCAGCCAGAGGAGAACTGTGAGATCCCTTGAGCGTGATGTGGGGTGCAAGTTTGATTTCATTAGTCCACCAGCTATGGAGGAGGTACTGGAATCATCAGCTGAGCAAGTGGTTGCTACTCTTAATGGCGTTCATCCTGAATCTATTGAGTTTTTCACCCCAACTGCCCAAAAATTGTTTGAGGAACAAGGAACAAGTGCTCTAGCTGCAGCTCTAGCTCACTTAAGTGGATTCTCTCGACCTCCTTCATCCAGATCTCTTATCAACCATGAGCAGGTGAATGTTCAATCATCAAATTGTAGTTTTTGAATTAAGAATTAGTTAATTTGATGTATATTTCATTACACAATATATAAGGTTGCTTCTAATATAGCATCTCATTGTATAGCTTGTCAACCTGTTGTCTTCATGATATGGTGCATGATAGTTCTGTTGCAAACTACTTACGCAGTTGTACATTATTTGTTTTCTGTCATTGCTAGAGGCCATTATGAGTGTGATTTTGTGGCTTTCGTGATCACTTAAAAATTTCAAATGTTTGAATGGAATTATCGATTTGGAAAATTTCATCTATTTCTGGGACATTTTTTTCCCAAGTATTTTCTTGAGAATTTATTTTCACACTATTCATCTTAGATGGTTTTTATCTTCTCTTACAAAAGGATATCAGGTAATCATTTTAAAACTTTTGCTAGTGAATGGATTCTTCTTTTGCATTCGTGGGGATGTCTATCTATGGCAAATTATTTTTTGTGGATTCACTTTCCTAATCTTCTTGTTAGGGGGGCCTGAAAGGGTCTCCCTGCACTTTCTTTATCTCTTTGTATTGGCAAATTTTATAATGTTACCATTGAGTCTGCATTCTTATGGTGGTCAAACTGGATCCTTCCATGCAGGGATGGGTAACACTACAATTGACGCGGGATCCTGCATATAGTAGAGGCTTTCTCTCTGCTAGATCTGTCACTGGGTTTCTTTCTGACATTTACCCTGCTGCCGCAGATGAAGTTGGGAAAATATATTTAATCGCAGATGACAGGGTTTGTATATGCAAAATTGTGTGCTCAATCTTTTATTGTTTCTTCACGGAAAACAAGTGATGAATTTAATGTCAGGTTCAAGGAGCTGTTTTTGATCTTCCGGAGGAGATTGCCAAAGAGCTGCTAAACAAGGAAACACCAACAGGAAACAGTATTTCCAAGTTAACTAAGGTTTATATCAGATTTATATCGCTGTCTCGTTTCTGCACAAAGAACCTTTATGTTACTTGAATTCAGTTTGATGCGTATAGGGTTTATACCATTAACATGCTGAGCCTTTCTTACTCTTTTAAGCTCAGTATGTCCTTTAAAAAAGAAGCTTCTCATCTTGGTTCATGCGGCTAACAAAATTGATGCCCATCTGAATTCATCTGGCAGTTGCCTCCTTTGCAAGATGATGGACCACCAAGCGATTACTATGGCAGATTTTCAAGCAGAGATCGGTTTTCCCGAGGAGCTTCTAAGAGCCGCAGAGGAAGTAGAGCCTCCCGGGGTTGGGGCAGTGGCCGAGATTCTGATGAGGAGGGGCGTGTTGGTCGGAGTAGCTGGTCTCGAAACTCAAGGAGCAATGATGATGATTGGTTAATTGGTGGTAGAAGATCAAACAGGATGTCATCTTCAAGGGACAGGTATATCCTTTAAGACTAGTAATTTAAGTGGAACCTGCAGGCTTGAAGTAGAGAGATTGCATACATTATGCATTTCGATTGGCAGTTTTGGCTGAGGGAGGAACGTGGAAATAGACAGTATGAGTCAAAATCCTGCCCAGTTTATTTCCTCGTATCTGAACCAGTATCATGCTAACAGCACCTTATGTTGTGTGTTTTTTGGTATTTATAAGTCTCATTTTCTTTGTCCATTCTCCGATGCTTGCTTATCTCCCACTCCCATTCGTTTTCTATGAATCCATTTAACCAATTAAAAGAAAAGCCTGGACCTACTGGACCAGTAACTTCATTTGGCATATATCTGAGGTCACTGAACACATTCTCACTAATATCAAGAAAATGTTAAGTTTGCATAAAAATAAAATTAGTAACTAATTTCAACATTGTAAGTAATGAAAAGAATTGTAAAAGCAAAATTATGAAATGTCCTTAATCATGAGACAGAAATGTCACTATTAGTAAGAACTTAAATTCCAACCATGGTGATTAATATCGACATAATATCTTCAAGTCCCTCCCCCCATTGAGCTGGCGAAAATTCCAAACCATACATCCAGCATTCATGATCAAGCTCTTGAAGCCGTCATATTTTTGTTAGTTATGATCGATGGGGCAATTTTCATTTTCACTCTTTATCATATGCATATTGTTATCTGGAAGTGGAATGACTGAAGTACTCATGATCTCGCTGCTGGTGGATTTCTGTGGAAATAATAAACATCTGAATCTCGGTTGCAGGGGTTTTGGAGGTTCCTGCTTCAACTGTGGGCGATCCGGGCACAGGGCCTCTGAATGCCCAGAAAAAAGAGGTTACTAGTTGGGCGTCTGCATTGGGTTTCTGTGCTGAACAGACTCTTGGTTGCTGCAGGACATTCATTTACAGTGTCGTTTCTTTGTAAGCACCAAGTGCTGAGCGGTTGAAGGATCAGAGATGCCTCAAGGGCATACTGAAAATTAAAGGTTCAGTTACTCTATCCCACAGTCCCCTCCTTCATCCCTAATAGGCAATCATGGGAGGTGGTTTCTTTTGATATCTCAATTAATGGGCTATTTGTGCAAAGTTTACTGGTTCCGTGGATAACAGAATCTGTATTCTTTGGATGGAATCCACCATTAGTTGATGATCTGAAAGAAGCGGCAGTCAGGAGTGCATGGTTTAAGGTTCCCTCCACTTTTTAGTATTTAATATTTTTTTTCTTTTTCTTTTTCTTTTTCTTATTTGACATTGAAAATGGAGAACATTGCTACCATATTACAAGATAAAGAGTATAATTCTAGCTCGGAAATCTAATGACCTGATGACCTTCCAACTCTTGATAAATCAAATATTCTTAGCCTTTCATGTGGAGATTTGTGCTAGTATTTTTTATGATATTCTAATACATATTGACAGAATGAGAAAGCTAAGTTGGAACACTTGTGAAAAGTGCTGTTAAGTGTTAAAATCGGTTGCTTGCAACATTATCCAAGTGTACTTTTGGCAGTAACAAGTAGAATATATAGCGTATATCATTACTTCAGAGGGAAACAATGTCCGAGGCCCCTATTCTTTATTGTCCAGTTTTGTATGAAGTCTTTTATGTTGGAATCCGATTCAAATGATCGAGGAATTGGAATAACCTTAATGTAGAAAAGGCACACATTACCCTCTATAACTATCACTTAGTGAAAAAGAAGTCATGACCGCTCTCTTTGATGTCTCAAAATGGAGAAATTACTCTGCAGGATCGTGATTAAAATTGATTAACAAAATAGAAAGCATTATCAGATCAACAATTCCACCAACACCTCGTACAAAAAGAAAGTACATTATCTGAAATCAAGATAAATTTTGATTTAGTACAACTTATAATCCTCCAACTGATGATCAAACCAAAAGACTTGACTAATGTGTTATAAGTTGCTTAAGGTACATGGCATGTAATAATCCACTTTTATGGGCATGGTAGTTGAGCCTGGCACAAGTATAATATCACTTACATTCAAGTATGTGTTTGAGATCAGATTGCAACCAGAAAGAAAGAGATGGCTTTTTTTTTTGTGTGGGTTAAATCTTATATTATGATTGATTTGATGATAAATGGAAACTTATCACAACTTGACGAAAAAGAAAAAGTGGAAGCTCTTTAAGAAAAAAAGTTAAAAAGAACTATTAAATTGAAGCAACTTTAACATTAAGTTGGGTTCAAATTCTGATTCCATGGAATAATAATAAGAACATAATGTAAAATGTAGTAAAATTGAAGGGATTTGGTATTTTACACATTCTAAGTTATTTTCTTATACAATTTAAGTTAAATAATTAATATATAATTTATAACTAAGTTTTGTGAAACAAATAAATTAAACCTAACGATTGAATAGATAAAAAATTAAAAAAAAAAAAATTCAACCAAATGCAATGTAATAATTTAAAATTCCTTTTTTGAGAAAAAAGATAGATAAAATTTATGTAAAAGTATATGGGAGTTGAGATTTTATTTCAATAGGAGATGATAATGAAAAGAAAAAAGAAATAATTATTTTTTAATCTTGAATGGTTGGTGTAATTTTTTTTTTTAAAAAAAAAGAAGTGGTATATTTTTTAAATTTTTTTATTACGTAATTTTCTTAAAATTTTATATTTTTTAAACTGTATTTCTATTTTTTTTAAAATTAAAATAAAATAAACTAATTTTATTTACCCGTTTCTTTTTCAGAAAAAGCCGTATTTCAATTTATCTGTGCTCTAAAGAGCTTGTAATTACCTATGCTCTTCAAGAACTACTTCGTGTAGCAAACGCAAGGAACACGTGGATATCAATTATTGTTATCGCAGTAACTGAGTTTGTTCCGGACACCTGTGGGGATGAAACCGACATCAGCGATCTTCGATTTGGTGGAGAATTTCAGATGATCAATTATGTGTTCTTGGTTTTTAATTAATAGGTTATTATTCTTTGATTATGCTCGTGAAGGTAGATTTTCTCATCCTCATAGGCCAAATTTTGACCTTATCTTCTTCGCTCTGCATTTCCTAGCCGTATATATTCATGCCGGAGTCTGAATCCGTTATTGGAGGCTCTACTCATGCCGATGCCGATGTCAAGGGCGACCCGAGGAAGAGAGCCGGTTTATTAACAAAGGTAAGGCAGGTGGTCCTATCGCCATTCTCAAAAGTCGACATAACAATCAAGATTGGGAGAAAGAGAAACAGAACCAATCGCAGAGTCTCCTCTTCAAATCCACCTGGTTGCTTTTCTTTTCCCTCTTGTTCATCTTCTTCTTCAGCTTCAGGTAAGCGGCCTAACAGAGCTTTTTGCTTTTGTATTGGGCAACCTCAAACCTTGGGCTCGCCCCTTTTTGAACCTCGAACAAGCGACCCCAATGATCCCCAATTTACGCTTGACATGCTTAGAACTATGATTCAGAAGAATGATTTCTATTCCAAGGATTCCAATCCTCATTGTGATTTGTTTGTAGCCTGATCCTGTTTCTCATATTAGCCATATCCTCGAGAGCTTTAAGGAGTAGCTTCAAACGGGATGAACATGTGTTTCTTCGGATCAAATTCATTGATTTTGCTATATACTCATTGTTCCTTGTATGAATGAAGCAAGCTACGACCAGTTGATCATAGCTCCTCCTCATTGAATGCAATGTGTATTTCCATTGTTCATATTAGACAAGGAAGGATTCACCACAAAAGTGGAAAGGAATGTGGAATTGTTTTATTTTATTTTGATTTTTACGAAGGAAAACAAATGAAAGATTGATTCATTATTGAGTCGTACCAACAGAAAAATATCCTTGTATCTGGAAATGTTTCTGTTAATTGAATGGAGGGTGAGGCAGGTAGTTGTCTTTGCTACTAAATTTTATAGCATTGCTGCTTTAATTAGCCAATTACATTCCAGGAGTAGGGAAGACCCATTTTCAATTATTTGTTTTGAAACCAAATTATGATGCCTTGGAGTTTCAAAACCAGAATGCTGAATCTTTCTACCTGCTCAAACTCGAGCATTGGCAAACATGAAGAAACTGAGTTGTGAGTTGCCAGCAATCCACATGGCGAATTAAGGAGTGAGTAATGTAAGATACCTGACACTTTGTCGAGGGACAGAACGTCCAAACAAAGGGCCGTAGCCCATACAAAGAGGATATGTGCCATCTATGGCGGGTCCATATGATTAAGTGCGATAGAATGTCCATTACCCGTCCACATGTGATCTTACAGCTCATACCAATTCTTCCTAATATTTTGATCTGGAATTGGATAAAGGAGCCTACTCAGGAAATCTATAAACCAAATCTTCTAAAATGGAATTGGAAAGATAAAAAAGAAAAAGGGAAAATATTTATATAATGGGCGGGGTAAGGGTATGGGCCAAAATCTCAGTCTATCCATTTCCATTCGGTGCTATGCGTCGAACTCGGACATTCAGAGAGAAGTTTACTTACACGTGAACCCCATCAACCCATCACCCATATCTCTTTGGAATTTGGATCCCAACTCAGCTCCGTCTCTTTACTGTACGGCGACCCTCATCCCACCATTCCCTCCTTATTAAATTAATCTAATTTCCATCGTCATGATTGGGATCCCACTTCCCTCCCAATTTTTTATTAGTATCCTCAACTCTGGATTTTTCTCTTTTTCTTTATCGGGAACCGACACCAATCCGGTGTATCTACGTCTTCAACTAATATATTAGTAAAAAATTATTATAATATGTGTATTGATTTGTGCGCAATGACAAATGGTGGTACTATTAGTGAATTGGATGGACCCGAGCTCTCTGAAGTCCGTGTTATTTGCTATTTTAGCGTATACCCAGTAGTAATATATTTTGTATTCATCAATCAGCATGAAGCATGACAGTAGATTTTACTGTCGCAGTATACAGTGGTCCCTGCCCTCGTCGGCGGTGTGGGCTTTTTTTAATGGTTAATGACAAACTGGGAAATACTCTTGAAGCTACTTCGACGAGGCTGGATCTGACATCGCTTCCCTGCCCTTTGCTTTCTTCTGCTTCCTCCGTTTCTGGGTTAGTCATTTGTTTTCCTTCTCTTATTTGTATTTCTCTTATTTTCTGATTCTCTTCCTCCCTTTCCGCTGTAACTGCCTATTTCTGATTCCTGGTTTCCTAAAACTTCAACTTCTATTTTTTCCTTTCGTTTGCAACCTAAATTTAAGCTTTCTTCTTTCGTTATTTGCTGCTGCTTATCTATTGCTTCTTTTTATGTTTGCCCATCTACTTTATATATAGGTATTTGTTTGTGTGCTTGTTTATCGTTTATATGGAGTTTATTCCTAAACTTGTTCTTTCTTTTTCAATTCTCTTGTTGGAAATCTTTGTCCATCTGTACTAATAAATTTTGCATCTTTTGGGCAACACATTGAAATTGAAGCAACTGCAGCATAACCAATTAATTAGTTAATTTGCCTGCTCTGCTTCTGTTACTTCTGGATATCCCTCTCCTTCATCTATTAAATGTACGCTTGATGGTTTCTATGTGAATTGACTGTTGGTTTCTCTGTTTCCGAGTTTTCTTGTCCACAATTTGTGATGAACCAGTGTCATGTTAAGGATCATTTGAATATCCACTACATTCTGCAACTCTGCTTCTCTTATTAATCTCTCGATTCTGCTATTTCTATGACGATGCTGATGGTCGTGATGATGATTAGTGTTTCTGCTATATCCAGTCATCTTTTTCTTTTAATTCGTCTATTTCTCATTATTGTCTCCGTTCTGCTTCAGTTGAAAATGTCTTCTTCGAGGCCAGGCCACTCCTCCACCAATTCAGGGAGGTCAAGACACAGTGCCAGGATTATTGCTCAAACCACTGTAGATGCAAAACTTCATGCAGATTTTGAAGAATCTGGTAGTTCGTTTGATTACTCAAACTCAGTGCGCGTTACCAGCTCAGTTGAAGGAGACCAGCAGCCAAGATCCGACAAAGTTACAACTGCTTATCTCCATCACATACAGAAAGGCAAGCTGATCCAGCCATTCGGTTGCTTGCTAGCCTTGGATGAGAAAACTTTCAAGGTCATTGCATATAGCGAGAATGCTCCGGAACTGTTGACAATGGTTAGTCATGCAGTTCCTAGTGTCGGAGACCACCCAGTTCTTGGCATTGGAAGCGACATAAGGACTATTTTTACTGCCCCTAGTGCCTCTGCATTGCAAAAGGCACTGGGATTTGCTGACGTTTCTCTTCTGAACCCTGTTCTGGTGCACTGCAAGACTTCTGGAAAGCCTTTCTATGCAATTGTCCATCGGGTGACAGGGAGCTTGATTGTTGACTTTGAACCTGTGAAACCCTATGAAGTACCAATGACTGCTGCTGGTGCCCTGCAGTCATACAAGCTTGCGGCAAAAGCAATCACTCGATTGCAATCTTTACCTAGTGGGAGTATGGAAAGGCTTTGTGATACAATGGTTCAGGAGGTTTTTGAACTCACTGGATATGACAGGGTGATGGCCTATAAATTTCATGATGATGATCATGGTGAAGTGGTTTCTGAGATTACAAAGCCAGGCTTGGAGCCATATTTAGGTTTGCATTATCCAGCCACTGATATCCCCCAGGCAGCTCGCTTCTTGTTCATGAAGAATAAGGTCCGGATGATTGTTGATTGTCATGCAAAACATGTCAAGGTGCTTCAGGATGAAAAGCTTCCATTTGATCTAACCTTGTGCGGTTCAACACTAAGAGCTCCACATAGTTGCCATTTACAGTATATGGAAAACATGAATTCCATTGCATCTCTGGTAATGGCAGTTGTGGTTAATGAGGGAGATGAGGAGAGTGATGGTCCTAATTCTGCACAAATGCAAAAGAGAAAGAGACTCTGGGGTTTAGTAGTCTGCCATAACACAAGTCCGAGGTTTGTCCCATTCCCTCTCAGGTATGCCTGTGAGTTTCTAGTTCAAGTCTTTGCCATACATGTCAATAAGGAATTAGAGTTGGAGAATCAAATTACTGAGAAGAATATTTTGCGTACACAGACCCTCTTGTGTGATATGCTGATGAGGGATGCACCTTTGGGTATTGTATCGCAGAGTCCAAACATAATGGATCTTGTAAAATGTGATGGTGCTGCCCTATTGTACAAAAACAAAATATGGAGGTTAGGAATAACTCCAAGTGACTTGCAGCTGAATGAGATAGCTTCGTGGCTTTCTGACTACCATATGGATTCCACTGGCTTGAGTACAGATAGCTTGTATGATGCCGGGTTCCCAGGTGCTCTTGCCCTAGGTGATGTTGTATGTGGAATGGCTGCGGTGAGGATAACTTCCAAGGACATGATTTTTTGGTTTCGATCTCATACTGCAGCAGAAATTAGATGGGGTGGGGCAAAACATGAACCTGGTGAAAAAGATGATGGTCGGAAGATGCACCCAAGGTCATCATTCAAGGCTTTCCTTGAAGTTGTCAAGACAAGGAGTTTACCTTGGAAGGACTATGAAATGGATGCTATCCATTCTTTGCAGCTTATACTGAGGAATGCTTTTAAAGATAGTGAAACTGTGGATGTAAATGCCAAAACAATTCATTCAAAGCTTGGAGACCTCAAATTAGAAGGAATGCAAGAACTAGAAGCTGTGACAAGTGAGATGGTCCGTCTAATTGAAACAGCCACTGTTCCCATTTTAGCAGTTGACATTGATGGCCTTGTTAATGGATGGAATAGTAAAATTGCTGACTTAACTGGGCTTCCTGTTGATAGAGCAATTGGAAAGCATTTACTCACGCATGTGGAAGATTCTTCAGTTGACACAGTAAAAAAGATGTTACACATGGCACTGCAAGGTAAGCCGTATACCAATTTCATTAACATTATCCTTCAGCTATTCAATCTTAGTAGTAGTAGTCATGTGGATAAGCATGGGACTCTTTGCACATATGACGACAAGCAGGTACTTGGAGCTGGAGAATTGATACTATTTTCAACTAAATTTTACTTAACATTGTCTCCTAGATTAGAGAAATTAAAGTTTTCAATCTCCCTCCTTTTTCTCTGCATGCTAAAGATGAGTTTGAAATTATGAAGCTAGAAGTATATCCTCTTTGCCTATATATATATATATATGTCTGTGTGCCTATTTAGTGCTTTCTGTTAAAGTTAATGTCAACAATTTGGTTGTAGTAACTGTTCTTGGTTATACTCAGGCAAAGAGGAACAGAATGTCCAATTTCAGATCAAGACACATGGATCCAGAATTGATGAAGGCCCTATCAGTTTAGTAGTAAATGCTTGTGCAAGCAGGGACCTTCATGAGAATGTCGTGGGGGTGTGTTTTGTGGCCCAAGATATCACTGGTCAGAAGACTGTCATGGATAAGTTCACTAGGATTGAAGGTGATTACAAAGCCATTGTGCAGAATCCAAACCCTTTGATCCCCCCCATTTTTGGTACAGATGAATTTGGTTGGTGCTCTGAGTGGAACCCAGCAATGACAAAGTTAACTGGTTGGAAGCGAGAAGAAGTAGTAGACAAGATGATTTTGGGGGAGGTTTTTGGGATTCAGATGGCATGTTGCCGTCTTAAGAATCAGGAGGCTTTTGTAAATCTTGGTGTTGTGCTTAATAATGCAATGGCTGGTCAGGAAGCAGAGAAGGTTTCTTTTGGTTTTTTTACAAGAGGTGGAAAGTATGTGGAATGCTTGTTGTGTGTAAATAAGAAATTGGATAGGGAGGGTGCAGTCACCGGTGTCTTTTGCTTCCTGCAGCTTGCAAGCCAAGAGCTGCAACATGCACTCCATGTCCAGCGCTTGTCAGAGCAGACTGCTATGAAGAGATTGAAAGCCTTAGGTTATATAAAAAGACAGATCAGGAATCCGGTATCTGGGATCATATTTTCTAGAAAAATGATGGAGGGCACTGAATTGGGCCCAGAACAAAGACGGCTTCTTCATACCAGTGCTCAGTGTCAGCGCCAGCTCAACAAGATACTTGATGACTCAGATCTTGATAGCATTATTGAAGGGTATGACCAAATCCTTTCTTTAAAGACAAATTCCTGGTCGATTTACATCAAACAATTTTATGCACTTATTTGGAAAACTACCTGTTAGCATGTTCGCATTAGCATAATTTTGTTTTCATTTCTTTCTTGTTTTCCCTTATTCACGGAAAGACTAGTAGATCAAATTGAATGTGCAGTATATTGATATGTCTTGTAAGTTTTAGCAATAACACGGGCCCTTTTTTATCATCTGAACCTATATTTTAAATTTTATTTTCTTAATCACTAGCTAAGATGGACTAAATCTCGGATTACGTTTAACCTGGAGTTTTTATATGCTCTCCCGTGAATGTTTAAGTTGCTTGTACATTCAAAGTGGCAATGCGGAAT